CTTCATTGTCTTCAAAGGGTTTGGAAGAAAGGGATCGCCGCAGCTTACACTCAACAAGGCCAGACTTTTCCCATCATGGTTTCAGGGAGGCTTGGAATCCAACCGAGCAGCTGAAGAATCAGGCCCATGTAAGTGTTAAATTTTTCTTGGTTTGCCAGACACTTATCAAATCTAGTTTCCTGGCCACTTTTACTATTGACATTTTGCTATCAGGAGATGTTATGAAGGAAAATGCCACAAGCAATTAGAATGACTGCTAAAATGAGCTAGTTTTACCAGAAATATTTCTCTTTCAAACTTCTCAGTCACAGCCATTCATCAGGAACTGCCCGTTTCTACATGAAGATCTTTTGATAGCCTAGGACAAGCAAATAAAACTCTAACGACCCGGGTGTTAAGATTTCAGTCTGGCAGGGAAGCTGAGAAACATTAAGATCCTGAATTCTGAAGATGCAATTAGCTGAAACTTAATGAGCTGCGGAATGATAAGTGACAGGGAAATGTAACTTTATATTTACAATTTCCTGACTAGATGAACTTTAAAACACAGTGAACTAAGCCCTACCCCAGGGCAGTTTAACCTTTCAAAGCACAAACATGTGGAGGTTAAGAACTGGCATTTGGAGATGGTACCTCCTAAGACTGCAGTGGTCTTGCAGACAGCTTAGCCACAGGGCAGCCTCAAATCCAAGGCCAAGGCTTTGAATCCAAATGGCCTCTACGTACAAAGCTGTGGCTCCTGTTTGTTAAAATCAAGGTTTCATACAGAAAATGCACCACCCACACATACACACACACACTCCCATTCTCTCTCTCATCCTCATGTCTTTGAAAATACAGCCCATATATTTTTAGAAAAAGAACTATAACCACACAAAGAAAGGGTGGTTAAAAACATATTCAGAATCTTTAGCAAGAATCTTCGCAAGGACATTGAAACTTTTACATCAGAAAGGACTAAGGACGGACCAGGGAACCTCTTACAAAGAACAGCATTTTCAAAGCCAATAGCTCTTACGGAGTATGAGTTACATTTCTTAGGTTTTAGAGATGCCCTACCCATCCCCTAGAGCATTTTAGCATTGTAAAAATCAGGATACTCCTTGCAATCAGCGTGTAAGGGTATCTTTGTTTTTATTTATTTTTTTAGATGCTGTTTAAAAGAGGAAGGAATAAAATATGCTCAATATAATCAATGGTCTGTTCATTCTGACATCACTGTCATAGCTGACTCTGATTCTAACGCATGTTTAGTCTCTTGCCTGTTAGTATTCCTGGTGATTTTTGTTGCAAGATGGACATGATGTACTAGGTGAAGGGAACTATGGTAACTAAGTCTTTAGCAATATGATGGTAAGGTGGGGGGGGCAGGAAGCATACTGTAGCCCCATGATTAGGTCTTAGTCTTTTAGGAGTCCATGTCCCTGGACTGTGGACTTCACCAGTGCTGTGAAGTTTCTCCTCCCCCACGTAGGTAGGACAGCATGGCTAGAGGGGACCGGAATTGGGTATTTCCTTTCCCCTACGTGGAAGGCTAGAGCTGAAGTTGGGTGTTTCCTTTTCCACAGGTAGTTAGCTCTGGTACAATAATTCCCTGAGGGCAGGGCTTGTTAAGAAAAACAGAGTGTTCTTCTATATTTCAAAATGGTTCCTTTTTTCCTCCCCCTGCCAGAGGGGATTTTTCACCAGTATTAACTGTGAGGACCTTGTAGAACTCACGGAGATAAAACTCACAAAAGTGTGCTCCCACCCCCACTCCTGGCTGGATTTGCCTGGGGAAGTGGTTTGCCCTGTGACCTTACTTCTCTCCCAGATCTAAAAAGCATTATTGATTTTTTTCAATTTGTCCAGCCTTTTACTCATTGTTAGGATGGAATAATGACTGCTAAGCTCCTAAGTGCTGGACTAGAAAGCAGAAGTCTGTCGAGTCTTTTTTATTTTTGTGTTTTCCAGGGTTTCTTGTGTAACTTTTGCATATAGCTGGTGCTTAAGGACTTTTGCTAAGATATGTTAAACATCATTGGTGATAGCTTATATTTTCAAGCACTTTCTAACTAGTTCTAAAGTTTTACATGCATTATCTACTTAAACCTCACAAGATTTCACCTATAAGGACTATTATTATTCCCATTTCACAGATGGAGAAGCTGAGTGTTTAAGTATCCTCCCCAAAGGAACACAGCCAGTGAATGGTGGAACTAGCATTCAAACTCAAAATGTCTAGCTTGAGAACCCATGCTCCTAACTACCATGATCTATGACCTAGCTGGGTCCTAAAAATCTTGACGATCTTGTGACCTGAGTGAATCATGAAGAATTCCAACAGCCCAACAGACAATCTCTCATTCTAGTTATTTTGAAAATTACTAATATGATATTTCAGTTTATCACCCAAACATCTGAAATTATTGAATAGAGAATGAGTCTGTGTACACAGGCCCTATAGATTATTACATGAAAAGGATTATGTTTCCATGTAGTCTACCCAGAAACCGATGTACCACAGGAGTTCTATTAGCTCCCAGAAACTGATGAGGGTCTTCCTCAGCCCATCAGAGATACTCCGCATTGGCTAAAATGAATCTAGTCCTGGAAAAAGACCTCCAGGTTCCCATGAATAGAAACATGTGCGCTATTTTCTATGACAAGTGAGCAGCGAGTCTTACATAAATATCACTTTGAGGGCACTAATGTTTTAAGCCAACCTACGTTGTTCTGATTTCATTGCATATACACTGAGGTTCACCACCGTTACAGACAAGCCAAAGATAATCTCTGCCCTGCAGGCTACGCCAGCTGAGCCATGAATACACAGCCTGGCTTAGCAGCAGCCACTTGGTGTGCACGAGATGGACCGAATACTCTGCTGTCTTTCTTTATGGAAACATGGTTTATCTGCATCACTAATCTAGTCTCTTTTTCTGACAACTGAGTCACAGTTTAAAAGTTTAGAAAATACTCTGATTGCATTGGAATTCATGTTGGTAGGTTTAGGATACATGGGAAACAGGGACAGAGATGTTTAAATGTCTTTAATCAATGTGTTCTTTACCAATCCATTGGACACTCCGTGGCAATGAGCCAATATCAGGTGAGCTGATGATGTAAACTCTCCTCACTTGGCTGAGAAAGGAATCGTGTTCCAGTTAAATTTATACAGTGAGAACATGTATCTCCCAAGGGCACAAAAAAAGGTGCATAGGAACTTCCTTATTTGCTCTCCACTCAAAAATACCACTTTGCGTTCCTTAATGTTATATTATAGCACATTATTTATGTTTTGAAAACGCAAGTGCTAAGCTTTTTTTGGTTTAATAAATTTGTGGATGATAAATATCTAATGGATTATGGACAAGTTTATTGGAGTAATTTTGATACAGCACTGATTTGTAGAGCTGATTTTTCATTCATTTGTTCATTCCCTTGCTGTCTGCTCCAGGCTGGTGCTAGAGCTGACAGCCCATGATGGCAGCAGAGCGTGCTAAGTGTGACAAGAGCAGTAGAGACGACAGGGTCCGAAGGCCCAGAGAAGAAGACAACCAGCAGTGCTATATGAGCTGCTCAGAGAAGGCTCCAGGCAGGCAAGCATGAAGGGCCACTACATTTCCAGGCAGAACCAAACACAAGGCTGGTTGAAATTGTGACCTCATCTAGTGAGACCCTTTCTTTTCTAGAAAGTATTACATCCAGTTCTGCAGATTTATAGTAGGTTTGTGGACTCTGCACGCCACTGACGTTAGATTATTTTCAAAAGGGGGTCATGTGTCTAGGGACTCAAACTCTGTGCTAGAGGCAGGACCAGAAAATGGGCCTTAGAGGTCTGGCATATTCCAAAACATAATCTAGGAATTGTGCATTGGGCAGAACCTCCCTGGACAGTCGTGAAGGTTGTGCATCGAACAATCCCAAGGGACACTATTCCTGACAGACGTTACAGAAACGTGTATTTCTCGTTGCAGAAATGACAGTAAAGAGTTCAGTTCAAATAAAAGCAGTATATTAGGACAGTTTTTGACAGATGGCAATGAATGAAGTATCTTCAGAAGAGGTTGCTTTTTTCCTACTCGATACAAAGATGTGTTGGCTACTAGCTGCTCTGTTTTCTCTTCATCCTAAACATTATTCTTGCTTCTGCCGGGAAACAGAGAGGAAGTGGGTCACCTCACAGGTGGTCTCCTATCACTTAAGCACACTTATCCTGCACAGGTGCCCCATAGACCATGCCTAGGACAGGTGACAGCAGCCCTGGAGGGTCAGAGGAGATGAGAATAGAAGGGGGGGGGGGATGCACAGGACGACTCTTCTATGCCACTTGCTCTCGGTGTCCACCCTCTGGGGTGAGAGTTCTAGAGTCCATAGCTCCTTCATCTAAACCCTCAGGGCTTCCTTTCCACAACTTCACTTCTTTTGGCACCTCCAGCAGCAAATCAGGCAGAATGTCCCAATCAGAGAACCTACTGGTAGACTTCACACACCTCCACACAGGGACCCGTTCTCACTCATTGTTTCCACCTGACCACCTAGCACAGTGTTTGGCTTAATGCAGATACTAAAAATTAAAAGTGTGTTTAAGCAACGTGAATGAAGTCAGTTATTAGGCAAAATGCACTTTTGGATCAACCAGTTGATTTCATTTACCCCTGACTTCACTGGGATTACTATCACACAGCGAACAACGGGGGAAACCTGGCTCTCACACGCCAGTCATCTCAGCTCTGCGAGGCCTCCTCTTCTCAATGATGAGAGGCGGCAGGTGCCCAAGAGAATTTCGTTTTAGGAACCGTCGGGGTAAGTGGTTTAATGAGAAGGGAAAGTAACAAACTTCATTTAAAGAAATCAAACAATGAAGAGGTTATTATTTATATTTGTAAAACATCACAAAAGTAAAAAAATAAATAAAAAATGGCAGGAGTCAAATGACAAATCCAAGAAAGTCACCTCTGCTCTGGGTAATTGTAATCGGTAAAGTTCTGAAAAAGCAACTGAAGCCACTCTCTTACCTTATATTTATTCATGATTTCAGCTAACCACGGCTTAACTGACTTCACTGTGTCTTCTTCCAAGTACTTTTCCACTGTGGATCCATTGTTAAAAGTCCGGTTTCCCACGTGGATGGCTCGTCTCACTTCTGGGAGGGACAAAAATTTCCCATAGTAACTCTGGTCCTCAGGTTCCTGGCAGGAGGGGGCATCAGAAAGATATTAGGGAACATGAGCAGCCTAAATTTGGTCAAAGCGTCAAACGACTCATAACACACACCACAATGAACAAGACAAGATGTGACTGTTCATCTGTCTCGACCCTGAAAATTTTAACTTGGGGGGTTTTGAGTTCATTTAAATTTCGCTAACAACAAATCTGGGTGATCTAATACTCTTGGAGCCAATATCCAATTTGCAAATGCTGGAGTTTCCTTTTTGGAAATTAATCTTTTGTAGTCTGTGACTCCAATGAACAGTCCCATTGGAGGTAAACAAAGGGAAAACGGAAAAGGTGAGAGTCTCAAAACCAATTTGCTCCTCCCTGGGTGATCTATGGAAAGAAGATCGAATGAGCACAAGGGCCCAGGGGGAGGGCGTGGTGGGTGACAGGCTGAGGATTTCTTTCCATGTTCTGGTTATTAAAACCACACTCACAAAATAATCAGCTGACCATCATTTAAGGGGAGAACACAGGGTATAAAAACAGATGATATTTTGTGAGGCACACAAGATGAAAAAAAGTTCTACATGAGCCTTAGTTTTAACACATTCCTGCATACAAGTGTCTGTAATATTCATTACACTAAAATAAAAAGGATCAGATGCTGTTTTAAAAAGTTACAAAAGGATAAAAAACTGTCAGAGTTTGAGATCAACAATTTTGTGCATCACCAACAATTTTTGCTAACTGTGAATTACTGCTTTGAAAAAAAAAATCTTGTTTCTCTTTCGATACCATGTGTTTTTCTCTTGATAAAATCTAAAACCACAAAGCTGGCAAATTCCATTGATATTAGCTTTATATTTTATTTACAAAATAGCTCACAAACAAGGCAATTTTAACAAGCAGAGCGCATTGTCATACACACTGGACAGATATTATACAACTCAAATCCCCCACTTTGCCTCACTTTGGCTAATTTGACTAATTCTACACAAAAGACATCAACTCTGGCCTACTTTAATGAAAGAAACTACTTGAATACTCTGAGAAATACTCCAGAGGGCTCAAAGTGAGGCCGAAGCTAAACACAAGAAACATCTTAAGTTATAAGTAAGACAAAGCAAATATTTTCATCAAGGCTTCGGCAGTTTGGGTTATCCAAGCTGTCTTAAGTACAGAACAAATAATGTTGGGCATTTCCAAGAAGCTCACTCCAGGCTTGGAACTCAGGGACCTGATGCCCAGAACAGCAGTCCTGGCCTCTGTCCCTCACGAAAGAACTTCTGTATGACAAGCTCTTTGGGGGAAAGGGGGGGAGATGTGTTAATCAGAGATTGTTTCGAGTTATCTGGAATATCACACACTCTCAATGGTCAGATTAGAATGTATACAACATTGGTGGGGGGGAAATCCTACAGACGAGTAGATAGAATAATACAGTTTGGGCATATTTGTCTAGTATAAAGTCAACTTATAATATTTCCCAAATCAAAGAAAGTTTCATTTTTGCCAAAAATTTTAAGCAAACACTATCATGTTTTGTTTTTTTTTTAAATGTCATTACCGTGCACTGTAAAATGTTATAGTAATTAGAACATCCTGTCACATTCTGGAAGTAAGAAGGGCCGGTTGTTGAGTCACCATCTAGTAGTTTATCTATCACCTACGTCAGGAGAGAGGGGAGAAAAAAAGAAGAAAAACGTCAAGGTGGGAAAAATACACAGGTGCTTGTCACTTCTTTTATTCAATAGCTTTTTCACTTTTGCACAGTTTCATTCCACAACCACTTATGGCATATCTCCTCTGTGTTGGACACTGTCCTGGACATCGGGAGACAGTGGTGACCGAGACAGACCCAAAGTCCTCCCCGTGGAGCTTATATTCTAGAAGGCGACAATGCACTAGCATGAACAGGTTAAATAAGAGGCATTTTAGATAATGCTGAGTTCTAAGGAGAAAATCAAACAGGAGAAGGGAAGGGCAGTGTCATGGGAGCCTGTGGGTGTATGTGGGTGAACGCATTTATGGGGCCCTGCAGACAGGAAGACACGCAAGTCTCGCTTTGAAAGTGGCCTTGGAGTAAAGACCTGTTGGAAGGGAGAAAGTGATCTGTGCAGACATCTAGGGCAAGAACATTCCAGGCAGGAGAAACAGCCGGCCCAGAGACCTCGGCTGTGGAGGGAGCCTTGTGGGCAAGGGTGGCCATGACATGGGTCGTTGACCACTGAGACACAATATGAGGGGAAGACAGAGGATATGGGACCTACACGCGTGTGAGTGGAGCTGGTGGAAGTTGTCTTTGGACTTCCAGCCTAAAAAACCAGGTCATCGGCTAAGGGTGAGAGCAGTGAGCTTGGTTATGTGCTTTTCTCTAGTCCTGTTCTGCTGGGAACGTATGTGATGACTGACCTTAGGTTTAAGTTGGGTAATCAGAGCTGACAACTCATTTGCTGTAAACAAATAAGATGGGTAGTCAAGACCCGTGAAATGCAGTTTCTAATCAAAACTCGTTTCACCAGAGAACTCTGTGATCCAGAACAATGTCATGTAAGGAAGGTAATACAGGACCAGAGATGGGTCTGCGGGTATCTTGCAGAATCTTTAAGATGTCCCAGGAATTTTACAGAGAGCCTGAAAATTACCACAGAAGAAATCCTGGGGTGGGAATCGGGGAAGGGGAGGTCAGTTCTAGCCCCAGACCTCCCACAATCTGTTATGTGGCTTTTGGCAATTGATTGCACCCCTCCCTCCGGGCCTCAGCAACCTCGTCAGTGAATGTGGTGTGTGCGTGTCGGGGAGAAAAGATGATCTCTGATGTTCCCTCCAGCTCTGAGCTACTGCTCTTTGATTAACTGAATCACTGTCAAGGATCAGACCATCAGACAGGCTTCATTATTTCGGCCTGAGATGTTGAAAGCGGTTTTCTCTGGAGTTTCAGGATTTCTCGCAGTTTCTACTGCACATGTTGAAACACATTTGGCCACTGCTTGCGGACTTTCCTAAGCATCCTTTTATCTATTTCCCTTGAAAAAGCAAAGGTATTTATGTTTTAATTCTTCACTCAAGAGATTGGACTAGTGGTCAGAGACACTGCACACCTTCGAGGGTTTGGGGGATTCTCTTTGTTTGCGTGCTGATGACTCTGGGTTAGGAGAGACCCTACTTCACCTCATGTGCCATCTCTGAATAAACAAAGTACCTGAACTTCTCGACAGCGTCACTAAATTCTGTAACTTCTACTTCACGTTCAACAAGCAGCTTTCTGATTTCTCTATCCCTTTGGGCCTATGAGATATTCTTACTCTTGACATCGCAATCCCCGTATGCTTCGCCAAAGCACATCAAATGTCTCACTTGCAGTTTGGTCTCGCATGATGTAAATTTTGATAGAAATTCTAAATTCTAAAGGCTTAGTCCATTCTGCCCTTCTGCTCAGCACAGCAGAGAGCCCAAGACCAGCCTTGAAAATGCTGTCACTGGGAGTTGAAGAACAATCCTGTGCATCCCCACGAAGCTCCCTGTTCATCGCATCTACGATCGCACAATTGCACAGGCAATTCTGAACCCACACTCTGCAGCTGCAGCAGGTGTCCTGGCCGGAGAAAGGGGAGACCTTCGGCATCCCACGTGGGACTTCCTGAGCTCAATCCAGCTGCACAGCTGGCTGCTATCGGAACTCACAGCAAGTTCAGGCACTGCCTCAGGTTCAGGTGGTGCCCCGCATCCACTGCAAACTGAAGCATGACTTCACGTTACCCTCCTTCCCCCTAAGTGTGTCTGTCTCCGGTTTTGATCGGAACCAACTGACCTGCGGCGCCTAGAAGACTATTACTAGCGGGCCTCAGTCTTAACAACAACAGTGCCGTTAGGTAAACTATTACAGGATGTGCTTCCAATAACAGAAAGAGTCAAGTCCTCCAACTTCATTCCTCGCCTCATTTACTAATGTGCCAAACATGATGGCTCTTTCGTAAAGGTAGAAAAACTCCCCCCTCCCACATCCAAGAAAGACTGCTTATGCGTCATCTTTGTCTGCACTGAGAAAAAGCAAAAAACAACAAAAAATCCCAACCTCCTGTATCCCAATATTTCATATAGTCTTACGTTTAAATGACAACAACCAAAAAGGGTGAGGAACACAACCATATTATTCGATTCTCAGTTTCAATATTAGGGAAGCAAGTGCCAATATGCACAGATGCCAATGGCTCTTGGTAAAAGTTTGAAATGACTACACTTTTTAACCTTTGGTCCTGACACACAGGAACATGTAACATTTGTTACACACGCCGGTCACTTCTCCAGCTAAAACCCTGTGTGTGGATACGAGGCTTCTGCGGGGTTCAGGCCACACGGGGAAGCCCACCCATCCACTGCCCAGGCTGCCTTCCATCCGATTCCCTTACAGAAGGTGGGCCTTCAGGGCCTACGCAGTGTTTCAAGAAATCAGAGCAGTTAAAGAAAGACAGGGCTTTCTTTCAATACCTGGAGGCGATCTCAGGTTGGAAAGAAAGGGAAAGGAAATGGAAGGAAACCCAGACAGTTCTTGTCTTCTCCAGGAGCCCACTCGTCTCCCTCCTGAGCCTGGGCAGTAACCGATACATCTTCTCTAAGNAGTTAAAGAAAGACAGGGCTTTCTTTCAATACCTGGAGGCGATCTCAGGTTGGAAAGAAAGGGAAAGGAAATGGAAGGAAAAGACTGCAAACAGCCGAGCCCTGCCTCCGGGACCCTCCCCAGCCGGTTCTCATTGCTCCAGGGCGACGGGCGCCAGGACTCACTTGAAAGGCTTGAAACCACTTCTCCTCCTGGATGTACTTCACGCACTCATCGCACAGCTTCTGGAAGTACTTTCTCTGCATCTCATCCAACAAGCCAGTTTGGTGCAGGAATGTTGCGTAGCCCCCTATGATCTGCACAGAGACAAACGCAAGTCAGTTTGGTGCAGGAATGTTGCATAGCCCCCTATGATCTGCACAGACACAAACGCAAGTCAGTTTGGTGCAGGAATGTTGCGTAGCCCCCTGTGATCTGCACAGACACAAACGCAAGTCAGTTTGGTGCAGGAATGTTGCATAGCTCCTATGATCTGCACAGAGACAAACGCAAGTCAGTTTGGTGCAGGAATGTTGCATAGTCCCCTATGATCTGCACAGACACAAACGCAAGTCAGTTTGGTGCAGGAATGTTGCGTAGCCCCCTGTGATCTGCACAGACACAAACGCAAGTCAGTTTGGTGCAGGAATGTTGCATAGCTCCTATGATCTGCACAGAGACAAACGCAAGTCAGTTTGGTGCAGGAATGTTGCATAGTCTCCTATGATCTGCACAGACACAAACGCAAGTCAGTTTGGTGCAGGAATGTTGCGTAGCCCCCTGTGATCTGCACAGACACAAACGCAAGTCAGTTTGGTGCAGGAATGTTGCATAGCTCCTATGATCTGCACAGAGACAAACGCAAGTCAGTTTGGTGCAGGAATGTTGCATAGCCCCCTGTGATCTGCACAGACACAAACGCAAGTCAGTTTGGTGCAGGAGTGTTGCGTAGCCCCCTGTGATCTGTGCAGAGACAAACACAAGCCCCACAGGGCGAGAAAGAAGTTAGAGAAGCCGGTTTGCTTGGTGAAATAACCCTTTGCGATTTGTCAGTCTCAGGCTGGGATTAGCTAAGCGAGACAATTACACACACACACGCACACACAACACACAGTACGAATACAAACACAACACATACAAACATACCACACAACACACAGTACAGACACAAACACATACCACACAACACACACACACAAACATACAACACTACACACAAACACACCACCCACACATACACATGCCCCCTACACTTGTCCTCAGAGTTAACCTAGGCTGACAGTAAGTCGACACCTTAAAACATTTGGTAAAAATTAGAGGATTGAAATTGCTAGACGGCAGCTGGCGGCAGTGTCGCCCGTCATGAGGCTGGATCTCCGGGCGGGAGGCCCGCCGCCGGGCAGGGAGGGAGGGAGGACGAAGCGCAGGGCGAGGGGGGCACCCACCGACTCGGGATCGGAGTACGCGTCCCCCATAGCGATCCCCTTCAGGTTGATCTTCACCGTCAGGACGGGGTTGATCGTGTGGATGTAGTGGGCGATGGCCGGCACGTACTTGCCTGCGTAAGACTGAGAAGGGTGGAGGTTAAAACGCACCATCACAGCCGCGCGCCAGTAAAGTTATGTGTTTACGCCCCGCCAGCGAGGCTCGGGATCCAGGAGATCGCGGTTCGATTCCCGGTCAGGGCGCAGGCCCGGGCTGCGGGCTCGATCCCCAGCAGGGGGCGTGCAGGAGGCAGCCGATCAATGACTCTCATCATTGATGTTTCTCTCTCTCTCCTCCTCTCTCTGAAATCAATAAAGATATATTAAAAAATAATAATAAAAGAAAGTTATGTGTTTAAGCTCATTAAACTAACAAGCAGCAGTGTCTCCACATGACAGATACCAAGTATTTCTTATTACAGTTCACACTGTAAATTCCACAATAGCAAAGGACTCTGTCTCTCGCTCCCTTTGTCATCCCAAATTGCACCAAGCGACCTGCAAGTCACAGGTTAGATGCACAAAAAATAATGAGTGGACATGTAACAAGTGAGCATTCCAATTTTTTCCCAAAATAATAACAACAAAATATGGGCCAGTGAACACAATTCTGCCCCATATGGGTTTTTTTGTTTTTGTTTCTATCTGAAAGTTCCATTAAAAGCTTTATTTTTTTAAAAATCTCAAGGCCAAAATTAAGATTTCAAAATCTGTACAATCATGCGAATTTTGACATCACCATATAGTGAAGGGAGAGGCAAAGGGAGATACCATTTATTGGCCACTGAAATTGTCACTGGAACTCACCTCTATTTCCAAGCATTTCCAGTACAAGGTTCNATTGGCCACTGAAATTGTCACTGGAACTCACCTCTATTTCCAACCATTTCCAGTACAAGGTTCTTTCTTCAGTTTCAAAATATTTTGTGGACACAGACAATAATAAAGATGCAACCTTTAGGTTATGCTGAAAAGGCTACTATGAGTTCAGTAACATTTGAAAACCACCTTGTGTGTTTTTTCCACTAAATGTCGTCTTCTTGACGTCTCCATGTGTATGTTTAATATCAAACTTCACACATTCAAAACGGAGCTGCACTCCCCAGGCCGTCCTTGCAGCCCCCCTTTCCCATTCCTGGTGACTCCGTCTTGCTCACTGCGTAGGCCAGGACTCACGGTGCCACCCTTCATCTCTCTCACACCCACCAAAGTCCAGCAACGACTCCATGCTGTCAAACACGTCCCAAAGCCACTGTCTTCTCACCGCCCCCCCCCAGCTTCATCACTTTGTTCCAGATAGGTCGTCTCTCACCTGGATTCTTGCAGTAGCCGCCTACCTGGGCCCTGCTTTCACCCTTGCCCTTGTCCAGTCTACTGCCAAGACAGGGGTCTGGAAAACGCAAACCAGGTCATGCCCTCTAAGGTCATCCCGTCTCCCTCAGAGGAAGAGCAAACTGCTTTTCCTGAGACGGGGGGACTTGATCCGGTCACTTCACTAATGTTATCCTACCACCCTGTCCTTCGGGCCTGTGCAGCCCGTCTGGGACGTCAGTCATGACTGTGATGAGAGCTGGTCCTCCCCGCAGGGCCTTTGCAGTAGCTGTTCCTGCCACCGGGAACGTTCTCCCCAGATATCCACGCGCTTAACGCCCCCATTTCCCCAAGCGAGGCCTTCTGAGAGATGCTTTCCCTGGCCACCCTATCTAAAAATTTCACACCTCTCTTTTTTTTTTTTTTTGACATTTTCTAGACTCTTTCTCTCTTTATTCCTCCTACTCATTACGCACCAACTAACTTTTACTTATTTATCTCGAATTGTTATTCCCCCCCCTCCCCCGACTAGAAGATCCATGAACAGAGGGACATCGCTCTTCGTCGTTACTTAGTGGATCCCCTGTGCCTGATGCCGTTGACTTGTCAGTGCCCAGTAGACAGTTGTTGAATGGATCTTGAACTAATCTACGTGCTTTTGGGAAACAGCAACGTGTATAAGTTCAAAATAGAATAGAGGCATCGTGTGGGTACCTCTGAGTCTGCAGACCCTTCACAATATTCCCAAGGGTCTCCAGGGGTCTGGAGTTCAAAGACTGGGAACCCCCGAGAGCTCTCATGTATTTCAGGCCATAATCATGTGCTGAAGATATCACTGTTCCCGCTGCAATATGTGGACACTGAGGCTCAGGGAGGTTAATTGGTAGAGTCAGAGTTAAACTTCGTTGGACCTACTCCAAAACCTAAACTCCTTCCAAGTTATGATCAAATATATAATTTACATAATTTATACAAAATCTCCTCACTGATGCAGCCCTCGTGTGCAATAATATTATTTAGGCAAGGTACTGAATCAAAGCAATTTATTCCTTCGACTCATGAGCACATTTTAGCTTCCTTGCGATGATATAAAGATGTGTTTACATATCTGAGATTTGTTGTATTGCATAACTGTGCTATATATTCTTTTTTTAGGCACAATATGTGAACATTTATTACATAAAATTTCTGTAAGATGGCCCCCCAAAATCAAATTTTCTTGAGTAATCATTTCACGGGGAAATATGTATTATATAATCTTCATTAGGCGACAGTTTCTTGGGCAACTCTGCTGTCCAAGGCCTTATAGTCAATACTTGAGGAGACACAATCATAAGTAAAGCACAAAACTTGTAAAGTTCATGATTTCTCTTGAAAATACATTATGGAAAACATGACTCAAATAAGATAAGGCAAAATCTACTGTTTTCCAGATAATTATGCCCATAATGTCCATCACATAAAAACATATTTGAGAAGTGAATGACTTATCTGACATTGCTTTTAAACATTTTTCTCTATTGGAAATAAGTGCAAACACTAAAAAAATACATCTTCCAGGCATACAATCACTCTAGTTGTCTTCTTATAAAAACTGGCAGTAAAACCCCTCTCCTGACTCCTTCTGAGATGGAAGGGCATGTATTTCAATTTACTATATAGGAAGTGATGACAAACAGGCTAAAACAGCCACATTTTTAGGGCACCTCCTGCCTTGTGACCATCATGAGTATCTGGGATATATCCAGGTAGGAAATTAAGAACGAATACTTGATTTCTGAGCATCCATTATGAATGAGGCTTTTCCCACCTACTTTAATTTGAGCCAATGAAGGTTAATCTTGTCTTCCAATATTTTCAAATGATGAAAACAACGGCCTGTGTGTTTGGTCACATGCCTGGCTGGAATCCTATCCAGACTTGGCTGTCTCCACGCCTCTCGTTCCTCAAGTCAAATCATATGTCAGTCAATCGTCCTGGACTAGACTATGGGTCTCTCAAGCTGGGGCTCAACCTTGGGTTAACCCACGACACGCTTGCTAAGTTGACCATTTCTGGAAAATACGACAGTGAGGTGGGCAATTTTATAACAACGTCCAGGACAGATTCCTCGGTGTTCAGTCGCATTTGCTAGCCTAACGATGATGTTTACCTCATTTTTGCTCTCTAAGGACTATCACACACTTCCTTGCCTGTGTCAGTGTGACAAATCTTCACTGCCGCTTTCATTAATCATCCCATTGACTGAGTGACTCAGGCCGTCTCCCGGTAGACAATTACAGGATTATTTTATGGAAAACAGACTGAAACAGGATAGTGAAATTTCAATTATTTTCGCTCTCCTGTTGACACACATTTCTTTTTCTTCTTTTTTTTTGCAAGGTAAGACTTGTTTGTTCTCCCTCCGTTACTTATTTCTCAATTTAACGATTCTCTGATCACCACAAGCATGTTAAAATACAACCAGACAATAAATCATATTTCATTTTGCCCAGTTCTCCCTTTTCTGGATATGTTTTAAATAGAATGGAGCCCTTTATTTGGGAGGAAGAATTTAGGTGTGGTTATCTGATGGATCAGAAGTAGACTAAATAGCCCCTCAGGACTTGTAATTGGGATCCTGTAATTTTATGAACTCTCCCTCCTTTTGTTCTGAGTTGTGCCCGTTACAAGGACTAAGGCATCACCCATTAGAGCCCCAGCCCTGCGGTCCCTCTGATCTCTTGCTGGCGTTCACTGATGTGGGCAGCAGCTGGCCAACGGGGCTCCTGGAGTCTGGGAATTAGCACTAACCTTCTACCATCGGATCAGACCCCGGCCTCATAAAAGCTCAGAGCAGCATCAAAGTGATTTTAAAAGGAAAGAAGAAAAGTGTGGCAGAAAGAATCTGAGCCCGTGTTATTTTAGAATTCAGCAGCGACCTTCAGATGAGGGACTCGGCCACGGACCCATATTTACCTAAAGCGATCATTCCAACGAGGTTGGCCATCTACACACCAGGATTTTCGTCCGCCCCTGTTATCACTTTCTAATAGCTAAAGACGTCTCAAGGTGTCATTTCCAGCCCGGTTCTTGCAGAGCTCATATTTTGAGCTCACTTCTGACAAGGACCAGAGATACTGGGGTGTGTCTGCTTCTGCTTGTATTTGCTGGAACTTAAAGGAGCAGTAAAGCTCCAGTGTTCCTCGTTACATCAGAAGGATCTCAGAACTCAGCTCTGTCTTTTATTCCCCCCACAGGGAAAACAAGGCCCCAACATCACAGCGGAGCCGTGGTTTCGAATCTCGGTCTGCGATCCTGTTGAGTTCTTAAATGATGTTTGGAACAGCCTAATGGAAATCACATTAAGAGCAGATCGTACTTGTAAAAATAGTCTGGAGAGAATGTAACGCTTGGTTAATTATCCAGATGTGTAAAAGCACAATGAAATTGGACTTAGAAAAACTTGTAACTGTGTGTTCCGTCTGAACCTCTCCCTTCTTACAGGCTTCAACAATATTCGCAGCAGACTTAACGGCACTCCTGCAGCCGGTGACTTTCAAGGGAGGAAAATATATTTCATATCTAAAATCAAGGTTTAATCAGCTCTCCAGAAGGAGAAAAAAAAATCGTGTCAGAGAATAATACTCTAATGGAAACAACGTCCTCTTACAGAAATTTCACATATGTTAGCAGTTACTATTGTTTAAGCGTTTCTCAGTGGTCTACATTTCTTACTCAAGTTTAGCTTTAAAAAAAAGGCAGTTCTACGTTTTCTTTCTCTGGCTTGTCTC